ACTTTTCCTTTATTTCATTCTTTTCTTAGCAATAATTAAGAGTAAAATAAGAAAAATAATAAAATAAGTAGTATAATAATTATCATTCTTAATCACAATGTGTGGTAAAAAAAAGTGTTATAAATCAATTTATTGTAAATGCTTTTACCTTTCACTTCATTTTCTCATGCATTTATATGCTCAATATATTGATGAGTAATTCCCTCCCTTTCCTATGTATCCAATGGTGATCTACTCTTATTTGATGATTAACACACCACTTTTTAATGCAATTAGAATTATGATAAAGATTTGTCTTCTAACCCTTTTTTTTAGTAGGTGAGTAATAGTGGGTGTTTAATCTTGATAAACCTTAGCAGACATTAACCCACATATATAGGACTTAATCGTACTCTTATACCATATACATAATATATTTTCGATCCCTTTCTCTACCCCTTAATTCATTATCTTTCCAAGTTTTTCAAAACCCAGTGACCCCCCTCTTTCCCAAGAAAGCTAGTGACCAACCCAATCAAGAAAACTTAATTTCCAAATCCCTGGTGATTTCTCCTAAAACGCCATTCTCGGCTTCAACAGGATACTCTCCAGTAGGGCTAGGTAGTAAAGAATTTCTTCTATACCAGGCTATTCAGGTTTAACTTTCTTACTCTCCACAGTGGTGTAGGTCATGAAAAACAATTATCTTTCCATTTTTAAAGATCTTTGTGAAAGAAGTCGAAAACAGCCTGAAACAGGAATCCTTCATCTATATATAAGTATATGAATATAGAATAATGAGACAAACAAAAGTTACAGACTATTCTCTTTGCCAAAGATTTGTGTTTAAGCTAAATAACACATTAAACAAGATAACATGAGATATATTTTATACATACTTGAAAGAGTGCAGATTACAAAGGATTTGAACGGAGTACAACCTTTGAGCAGACTCTCTCTCTCTTTCTACCTTCTATTCTACCTTTTGCTCTCAACTTTCTGTTCAACCGTGACTTCTACTTCTAAGAAGGCATATTTAAAGAAAGGAAAACTAACCTAGGTTACAAAGTAACTGCAGTAAAAGTAACCCTAGTTACATAAAACCTAACTATGATTAATTAACCCTAAGGTTATTTACAGAGGTAACTGAAGTCGATCATCTTTATCTTTTGGGAAAGATAAAAAGTAACCGGCTTTTTCGGAACATGTCTCATGACAGTCACTTTGGAGTGAGGCATGCCTGTTCCTTTGTCTTACTTATCATCCCTCCATTTGATTTTCAAGATTTTCCCATCCAACTAAGTCAAGATCATCATAAAAGTTTATATCATCTGGCTCATCTGGGTCATCATTGGGAAGGTCGTCACCCAAATCAGCGTCGCGATATTCGTATTGATCTCCATCATTTTTATATTCCTCAGAGTAAATATCTAGTAGCTGAGTGTAGCTTGTCTGAGGTGAGAAGGAAATCTCTCTTTGACTCTGACTGTAAATAAACACATCAGGATCAAGATAAATTTTCTGAATATTGTCCTCAGTAAAGAGGGTGTATCCAGCAGAAAAATCATCTCCCATGACCTGCATGTGGGCCATTGTTCTAGCTCTCCAGTGTCTGAGTTGTTTTGTGAGGGACTGAGTAGTGGATGGCCAGGCCTGAGCATCTCTGTAGAGAAATGGTAAACTGCTCCTTCTTCTTAAAATAATTTTGTGCTGTGCCGGAAGCAAATGTCTACCTTTCCATTCAGGGGCCTTGCTCTGAATCAATGCCTCAACAAAGTTGGGAGGCATGCTTTCTAAGACAGCGATGGCAAATTTTCTTCCAACAAGATCAGTATCCGCCATTTTTGTAAAAATTAATTGATAGAGAAAACCATAATCAAGGAGTAACTGTGGAGTTAACTCAATGATTTCCCCTTTATATAAAAACTGAATGGGTTCATAGGAGGATAGATCTAGAGAAGCTCTGCAAATGCTATAGACGAGTTGACATTGACAGTCATTTCTTTCAAGTGGAATCCCATCTGCAGTCTCCCCTTCACACCTATTACACCTTTTGAGTCTTCCTTCTGTAGTGGAATAATAGGTGTCCCATGTGAAGCCTATACCAGATTGGTTAATACCATCCTCGGCTATCTGTTGAAGGAATTGTTGAATTGCCTTCAATTTAGCATGGCCTAAAGCTTCTGCTTTCTGGAAAATTAGCTGTCTTGAATCATCTGGCAGCTCGGGTAAGGGAACATGTGGATTGAAATACATCCTGAGTTGCCTTTGAGTGTCATCCACTAATGGAATAGATGTAGAAGTTGAGGAGGATCCTTCGATTAAATATTGATTAATTCCCAGTGGGGGAACTAATTGTCTTCCACCCGCCAGTGGGGCTAAAGTGGTCTTCACGATTTCTCCTGAAGGTTCCTGCAAATCTGGAGAAAGATGAGGGCTAACGAAAAAGCTGTCTCCAAGATACTGTTGAGCAAATTGGATAGCTTCTTCAATTAGATAAAACCCTTTATAGAGTGGTTTCCTAAAATCTCGTATTTGGAACAAGATCTCGTCCCACTTCTTATAAACTCCAAGGGTTTTTCCCTTAATTAGAACATAATAATTAAATTTATTATATTTTTTCAAATACTAGGCTAAAGTTTTTAAATTATTCTCAAAAAGGTTCAAATTGCCGAAGCTCTCCTAAATGTTGTTCAGAAGTTGATCAGCAACTGGATCCAAATTGAGACCTTCTATACAGGACCTAGCTCTAGAGGTGTTGCCTCTATCGCTGGCTTTGCCTGAAGTTGAGCGTCTCATTCTGATCCTGCACAAGAGAAGAATAAACATATCTACTTAGCCAGTCAGCAAGATAATTATCTTTACTTTTAATATGTTCAAATTTCACTTTAAAACCATTTCCAGTTATGATATTTACAAAATTCATCCATCTTTTAGAAGAAAGACTTTTTTCATTTTTCTTTTGAAAATATTTTACAATTGCCTCACAGTCTGTTCTAATTGTAAAAACATCATTTTGGATGAAGAGTCTAAAAGAATTTAAAGCATTTATAACTCCTAATATTTCAAAATCAAGAGAGGTTAAAGAATTTTTACTTTCTCTGTACAAACCACTAGAATATCTACAAATCTTTTCTTCTTTTTGAGATGAGAATTCTTTTGGTCTGACTAACAAAATTGCTCCCCATCCTTCACTACTACTATCAGTCTCGACTATTTTGTAGTCTGATTCCAATGGTAGAGTTAGAGAGGGTAATTTTTTAACTTCATCTTTTATTCTTTTTACAAGTCTGACGTCCTCACTATTGAAAAACTTTTGTCCTTTGGGACTAAGTTTTGCATATAATGGTCCAGTCAGTTTAGATAGATC